ATTGACAAGATAATTGGCAGTTGAGACGGCCTATGCCCAAGAGGACGTGGTAAGATGAGCGGGGTGGATAAGTGTTCGTGTAAGGTCGAGAAGATGACGATTCTTGCGCTCAACAGTGCCATTCTGCTCCGACGTGTGCGTGCAACTCATTTGATGAGTAATACCGTGATGTTCCAAGTAAGATCGAAAAGCAATGCTAGTGTATTCACCACCTTCGTCGGTCCGTAACGTGTGAATTTTAGTGTTAAACTTGTTGGTCACAAGATTGCATAATTATTGAAATTTAGTTAATACTTCATCTTTGGTATAAAGTAAATACAGTCATGTAAACCAAGTAAAATCATCTATAAAAGTAACGTAATAGAGAAAATTGTTTAAAGAACAAGTCGGAGCCGGACCCTAGACGTCTAAGTGGACGAGTTGAAAGAGTTTATTACAAACAGAACTACTAATAGAAAACGATTGTTTGTGACTCTTTGACACATTACAAGATATGCAAACAGAATTGGGAGAAGAAGCAGTAATTTCTGGATCTAGTTTAGCCAAGAGTTGAAGTTTCCTTCCATGGAGGTGACCGAGGTGAGTGTGCCACAGCATCTTGGTGGAAGCAGACGTCGTGAGTGCTGCTTTGTTGCAGCTGACGGGAGCCTTAATGTGGTAGAGCCCATTACGTTTGGGACCTCGGAGGAGCACCCTGTTGTCATGTAGATTCTTTATGATAAATTCATTAGCGGTGAAAGAGACGGAAACATTATTGTTAGATGCTAAGCTAGAAACATAAAGGAGGTTATGATTTAGTGAAGGCACATTATAAATCTTTTTAAGATAAAGCTTACGCTGAGACTCGGGAAGCAGCAGCAAGCCTTGCCCTGAGTTCTGTATGGAAAGATTGCTACTGTTAGCAATAGAAATGGAGTCATAGCTGATGTAAGGTGCGGATTGGTGTAGATTTGACGCATCGGCCGTGAGGTGGGAGGAGGCGCCGGAATCAAGAATCCAATCGTTTGTCACCGTGAATTGCTGTTGTGCAAAGAGAAATCTGGGAGTCGTGGGAGGTGCGTAGTTAAGATTTTGACGATGCCAACAATTTTTGACAGTGTGTACGATCTTCCCACATATTTGACAGATCTGTCGTGATTGCTGGTTGCGAGCGGGTGTGTGGACCTCGGATGTTTGTTGCTGTCGATCAACCTGTTGTGAGCGAGGAGTTGAGTTTTTACCACGAGATTTGTTCTGTCGTCCTCGGTAGTTGTTGGACCTGTTGCTGTACAGTGTCTTGGCATCAGATTGCTGACTGTCTTGTAGAAGTTGATGTTGAAGATTTATCTCCTCACTACTGAGGAGAGATTAAAGATCATCTAGGCTAATCGGTTGAAGCGATGTTCTTATTGCAGTTTTAAACAAGTTGTAGCCGGCGGGAAGCCCGTTGAGAATGTACAGGACGATGTCTTCGATGTCCACCATTGATCCTGCCGCCGCGATGTTGTCAACCAGTTTCTTGATTTGATCAAGATACTGCTGCATTGTTCTGTCAGCCATCCGAATTTTATGTAGCTCGTTCTTGAGCTGTATGACGCGGGAACGATTTGTGGGTTTAAGTCGACGTTCCACCGTGACCCAGATGTCATGGGCGGTGCGAAGGGTGATCACATATGGAAGAATTTCCTGAGAGATTGTGGATAGTAGTGCCAAGATGAGGTTGCGATCAATCAAACGCCGGCGATTTTGATCAAGAACTTCGGAATCCCGTGGGCAAATGGCAACGCCGGAGAGATGACCGTCGTATCCATTTGCTGCAAAGTGTTGATGGAGCTGAAGCCTCCAGATTGAGTAATTTTCAGAGGTGAGAATTGTTGGAACGAGGTTCTTGATATTTGAGATTAGAAATTTGAGGTGAAGGGGAATGATCATATCGGAATCTTGACCGGAGATGGTGGATTATTTCCGGTGAGAACCTACCGAAGCTTCGTCGCCCATGATGGATCAGAAAGAGAAGAAAAAAAATGTTGTAGAGCTTCAAAGCTCTGATACTAATGAAAAACAAG